AAAAATTTGTTTATATTGCTTATTTAATAGGTTTGTTTTGGTTTCGGAAGATAAGTAAAGATATTTATTCAAATTTGGTTTATTACAAATTTAGGTGTCGATTACATTTATTTATTTGGTTTGATTATTTTAGTTTTTATAACGGTTAATTTATCGTGATTGGTTTTAATTTGTTTTTATTTTACTTGTTTTTTATTCTTTTTTATTTATTTTTTATTTGGTTTGATTATCGTTTACATGTTTTTTGGCTTGATAATAGGTTAATTTATCGTTTATTTATTGGTTTTGTTTTGCTTTTACTTTCATTTATTTATTTATTTATTTGGATTAATTTATTTTTATTTTATTGTCTTTTGTTTTTTATTCTTTTTTTTATTATTTTTACGAAGTGCATATTTTTATTTATATATTTTCGGTTTTATATATATATATAGAGAGAGAGAGAGAGAGAGAGAGAGAGAGAGGGTGAATCAAAAATATTTTTACATTTTTGTATCTCAACAATTGGCTTGCTTCAAACAAATCGCATAGTATTTTTTATCGTTATATAACAGTTATAGAATCCCATACCTTCTTCTTCCCCACAGCTATGGGTTAATTAGTCAAACTTGTTTCTATCACTAAACCATTATTATCTCCTAAAAATGTTTCAATCTAAAAATTATTTTCTGGCTTTAAATAACTTTCAAAATGGGTTGATAAATTTGTTTTCCATTTCTTCTAAATGTTGCCTCAAAAAAAGAGACAGATCAATCAATCAATAAAACAATGATTAGCTACAAATGGCAATTCATGCGGTAATGAGATGTACATGTCTTTCCTGAATCAGCTCTGATTTATTTATGGTCATTGGATCTCGGTTTAAACAGTCTGGACTTGCTAAAAAGGAAAAATGCCTGCTGACGATCATTATTCTGCCATTTTAAAACGGAACACTTCTCATGAACTGCTACTATTAAATTACATATTAACAAATAAACTAGCCAATAAATGGGACAAATGTAGCTACATATAACACAAATGTATAAATACATTATATTTATATATATATATACATATATATATATATATATATGTATATATATATATATATATATATATAACGGATAACGAATATATAGCAAACAGTCATTAAAAGGCGGACATAATCAATGGATGTTTCGTTGGAAATCAGGCTTACGGCCACATCACCTTGAAACATCGGTTCTCACCGAAGTTAAAAGAATACATTTTATCATCCTGTATTGGATAATGGCTTTGTAAATTGTTATCGAGTTTCAATTCCCGCAGCGATTGTTATATTCCCCCTCCCAAAAAATGTTTCAATCTAAAATATTTTCTTTTAAATAACATTCAAAGGGTATAATTTCTTGTTTGTTTATGAAAAAATCTGATTAGGTATTTTAAATTGCAATATAGAATTCTCCCCCAGCTACTATAATTTCTTGTTTGTTTATGAAATTCTGATTAGGGTTAATTAGGTTAATTAGACTTGTATCATTAAATCATTATCATCTAAAAAAACGTTTACAATCTAAAAATATTTTCAGGCTTTAAATAACCTGCAAAGGGTTGATAAGCCGTGAAAAACCAATCAACCAATCATTTGATGATTTTTTTTTCAACGATACGATTATCATTCATTCATGATACAAGTCTAAATGACTAAAAGACAACACTAGGAATAAATGGAGTTAGTATTTAATTGGATGATGTCATTTCGTGGAGCATTTACCTTTAAATAAATCATGAACAACAAGGCAAAGACAGGGATGTATTTGATTGCACACTCCCATCGAAAATAATTCTAACTGTTCCGTCAATGAGCGTAGAACATTTCCTAATGTGAAAACGCCTCACCTCAGCATTACTATTAATATATAACGAAAATAATATAATCATACTTATTATAAAACCCAGGTTGTGTGTGTGTCTGTACGTTTATATATATTGGATCGGATTTCCTACATTTTCAACTGATTTCAACAAAACTTTACAGGACTACGTAAAATTACTTTGCGGTGGTTCTGACAGCGCCAAAAATTGGAAAAAAACAATTGTTTTTGCACGAAATCAATTTGAAAACACGATTAAGAGGCATCGCGAGAATGAAAGGGAGACAACTCATATCGAGTTATACTTATTATAAAACCCAGGTTGTTTGTATGTGTGTGTGTTCGTTTATACATGGGATCGGATTTCCTACATTTTTCAACCGATTTCAACAAAACTTTTTTTGGCAGGTAGTGTTTCTTATTGTCTTGCACACTTTTTTCTTTATTTTTACATTCAGAATGCTTTAAAAATTCCATTTACAAGACAATTGTTTATAATGAAATTCTATTCAATCGGTAGACTCATAATGATTAAAAACAATGTTTTTGTTTGAGTTTGGGTTTGACCAATTCGTAAAAAAAGAAAAAAATAAAAATAATTAAGACATGCGTGTCCGTCAACCTTAAACAATAATCTTTGTCAATTTTATTTTTCAGTCTTTATGATGGTCGATACTTGATCTATCACTTAGTGTTACATCCCCAGGCAACGCCGGGCTCTACTGCTAGTAACATATATAAATAATATATATATATATATATATATATATATATATATAAACGAAAATAAGTATAAAATCTATCCTTTAAAAAAATGAATTTTCTTGTTTTTTACCTGTTTCATGATCATAGTTGCGGGATAAACCACAGGTCATCTCTGAGGGTGTTAAACAAACTCAAATGTGCCTGAGTGGGCGTTTGCAACAGGGATGGTTAACCGCCCTAATAGACAGACATACTCGGAAACTAACGACTGTTATTTTTTATTATTATTATTTCCTTTGATTTCTGGTATCTACTTTCTTTTTCCGGGTCCCACCTAGAGATCTAAGGTCAGAAAAAGCATCATGACATTTTCCACTAAGCAATTAAAAAAAACAACAAAAAAACATATTTTACATAGATAAAGCCCTTCGTAACGTGTAAGCTGTACTTCTGAGAACAATTTTTTGTATTTCTTTAAGGCATGGACTTCCAGGAATCCCTTCAATGCGTCTATCGGAATCTTTCCCAATCAATCCGAGGGCTCCAACTACAGCAGAGATTGTTGATGTTCACATATGCCACATTTTTGAGATTTCGATTTCAAGGTCCTTGTATTTTGATAGATTTTTGAAGATATTCGAAGATACATTACAGTCTGCAGGGACTGCCATATCAATAAGGAAGCGGCTTTTTTGTGTGCGATCTCTAATAACAATATCTGGGCGGTTGGCTTTGATTGTTCTGCCTGTGTGTATTGTGTAGTCCCATAAAATTGTAACAGATCCTATCTCCGTAACCGGGTCTGGGTGGATGTTCATACCATTTTCTTTCAGTTTCCTTCCCATAGAAGTTGCAGATTTTCCAGTGCAGATATTGGCCAACCTGTCCTGCCGGGTTTTATATTCAGTGGGTGCCAAAACCTTGCAACCTGATACAAAATGATCGATTGTTTCTGGGTAATTATCACAGAACCTGAATTTTGGGCTAACACTATATTTTAGTATGTGTGCTTGATAATTCCTAGTTAACAAGCATTGGTCCTGTGCAGCAAGGATAAAACCTCCCGTTTCAGCTTTTAACCCTGCACTACGTAGCCACTGATGGGTACGGGTTTTGTCTACATCATCTTGTTTGATACGGGCAGAGTATTGGCCATGAAGCGGTTTATCTTGCCATTGTTGCTGTATCTGGTCGGTTGCATTTGTCTTTGCTTTCTTTTTAAGTATTTTGCAGCTTCAGTCGGTGTAATGTGCTTTACTTATTATTATTATTATTATTATTATATGGTTGATAGCAAAAGTAAAAAGATGAGCCCAACATGCAAATTACAAATTGGCGATACCGAGATCAAACAAATACAAAAATCTAAATATGTGGGAAGTGTTTTTATAGAGAACGGAAAGTGCGGCACTGAAATCCGAAGACGCAATGGGATAGCGAAAGTTGCCTTCCGAAAGTTAAGCAAAGTATTAAGAAACAGAAAATTTTCGTTAGAAAAAAAAGGAGAGATTACTGAACTTTTATGTATTTTCAGTCCTTCTATATGGCAGTGAATGCTAGATAAGCTCCTCCCAAATGAAGAAGAAGAAACGAAGCAACAGAAATGTGGTTCTACAGAAGGATGATGAGAATGCCATGGACCGCGAATGTGGGCAACAACGAAGTTTTCGAGAAAATGGAAACAAAAAGGACACTTGAAAATGATAACAAAAAGGACACTTGACGTCAGAAAGCGGCAGTTGAAATATCTAGGACAAAAAATGAGGAAAGAGGGCTTGAAAATTTGGATACTCAAAGGACAGATTGAAGGCAAGAGGAACAATGGAAAATAACGCATAATGTGCTTATGTAAATAACGCATAGTGAGCTTATGTAAATGGATGGCAAAACAGGTTTTAGGAGAGATAACAAAAAGACAACAATTATTAAGAACTACAGAGGATAGAAAATTATGGAGAGCCATGATGTTCGACGTCCTTAAATGACACGTCACATAGAAAATTATTATTGTTTTTATTGTCATATTAACAAATAAAAGTAAATGTTAACTTATCTGTCTCAGAGGTTTGTAGATTTTCCATCCAACCTTCAGGGAGTTAATAATAAAAATGAATTTTTGAATGAACATCTAATTTTGTTTGTAGCCGTTCCATCAATCCTAAAATTACAATATCTGTTTGCCTTAAACGCGAAATCTTCCAGTATGTGCCAATATTTCTGAGATGAGGTCTTGTATGTATTTACACTATTTACAGCGTATACTGTTGTCCTCATTTTTATTACGACATTTCGGTCGTTGTACGCTCCAACCTTCTTCAGGTGATATTCGTTGGAATTTGGAACCGAACTCTTTATTTAGCCCACGCGGGGTAGATTGTTCTAATTCCTCATGCCATACCACGTCGTGAAAATTGCAATACAGATGAGGACAACTGTCCGAACAGTGTAAATAGTGTAAACAATCTGTGATAGATAGATAGATAGATAGATAGATAGATAGATAGATAGATAGTAACAGAGTGAAAAGAATAGATGGATATCAACAGAGCGAGATGTATAGATATTAACAGTGAGATAGATAGATAGATAGATAGATAGATAGATAGATAGATAGATAGATAGATAGATAGATATTAACAGAAGGTTGGAGCGAGCCATGATTGCCCACCTCCTTAAGGGATACGGAAAATAGTGGAAGATTGTGCGTACGTAAAGTAATTGTGAGCGTTTATCTAGTTAGGTGTGGATATATATTACAACCTTCTGTTCCTTGTCTCGCTAAACAAGGTATTTGTCTTTACCATCTATTCTACCGCCGTTCCGCCATCCATTGAAACAAGTTCGTCAGGTAGATAGCCCGCAAACTTCCACTGTGTCTTTTGCTTTCAATATGCCCTATGAGTGTCATATTCTCTGAGCCTGTACTTCAGAAATTTCAATGGACTCATTCTGAGTTCTTTCTCCTCCCAATTTCATTAAGACTTCTCGTGGTATTCTCAGCATCCTTCTGTAGAACCACATTTTTTGTTGTCGCCAGCTTTCTCTTCATCTGTGAGGAGATTGTCCAGCATTCACTGCCATATAGGAGGATTGATAATATATATGCATTATGGGTAGCAAGGTTTATTGTGTTATTTTCGGTAGGCGGTAACGGTTATGTATAATATATATTTGAGGATTTCTATAATTTTCTTAATAATTCATCACATTTGAACCTACAATCCTCAACACACACACAGGCAGAAAATCAGTGCACGGCCGTTTCGTTCTATTTTGGGACTTATCAGCATTGCTCATCCTCAACGGACTCTGAGAATCGAACACGGGCCGTTATTATACGACTCAAGCATCATACCATTGGGGCCAGTCGTGTGGGTTATGTATACTTGGATGCGCTATATTGTGTCTAGTAACTTAGTTTCCTCTTCGCAAACGTAGCCCACTGGCCCGTTAGCCCACTGGCCCAATCCTATGATGCTTATGTCGTATTGTAACGGTCCGAGTTCGTTTCTCGTTAGTGGAAGTGCACTGCTGATGAGTTACAAAATAGAAGGAAACGGCTGTCTAGTGCTTTTCTGCATTCTGTTATTCAAAAAATATAATTTGAATCTCTGCAGTGCTAGAAATTGCCTGCTGGGTCAAAAAATGTGTCTTAATCTAATAAAAATATCAGAATTTGCTATCATGGCTGTCTGACTTTGGCAAACACACATGCATAGATAGATAGATAGATAGATAGATAGATAGATAGATAGATATACACAAACAAATAGAGAGAGATAGATATATGAAAACATATTTAGGCGGTAAGTCCTCATTTAAACATATTCTATTGAATACAACATAAATTGTCGAACAAGACGCTTTCAGATAGGTGATATATATATATATATATATATATATATATATATATATATATATATATATATATTCAAACATATTGTTAAATATAACAGACAACGAATGTGTATTATGTTTAAACATGAGCAGCTCTAAGCTTCGTATAGTTGCTTTAATTTAATCTTTATATTTAGTGGGTAGACGTGTTTGAGTAGACATTTCCACTTTTGAAACAATGAAATTGGTTGATAGATAGATAGATAGGAACAGACTGAGATAGATAGATAGATAGATAGATAGATAGATAGATAGATAGATAGATAGATAGATAGATAAGAATTGGATGAGTATCATAATCGGAATTAAGATGAGCTTCGCTATATTGTGTCTAGTAACTTAGTTTCCTCTTCGCAGACGTGACCCGCTAGTCCGCTGGGCCAATCGTATGATGCTTGTGTCGTATCTTAACGGTCCGAGTTCGTTTCTCGTTAGTAGAATTACACTACTGATGAGTCCAAGAATAGAACGAAACGGATGTCCAGTGCTTTTCTGCATTCTGGACATGATGCATTATTATGAAAATTATACAAATTACAAATAAGTTATATATGTAGATATATGATTAAAAACCAAAACTATTCTTTACTGACGCGGTTCGTCCTCTGATGGACTTTATCAAGACAAATGTAAGGATTTTATTTTGCAACATTATTTATAAACAGAATTGGTATGAGGCTTGCGTCGTATTTTAATGGTCCTAGGTTCTAACACCTAAACATTTTGGGTAGCTGTCAAATATATACTTCTTACAAAATAAAATCACCATATTTGATAAAGTCCGTCGGATAACGAAACGCGTCGACCAAAACTAAGTATAATTTTCCTCATGTCTTTTCATTCATTTTACCACTTCCACAGATATAGTGCATCTGAGAATATTTATATACATACACACACACACATGCATTACATGCATATATATATATATATATATATATATATATATATATATATATATATAAATGAGGTATGATTACTTACATTATTGATATTACTCCTCAAGGACACATGGCCCAGTAGATAAAGACTTTGGCTAGATGCAGTGATTAAACCCATAGTGTTTCGAGTTCAGTACCAGACCAGAGCAGAGGTGAACCCAAAGTTGGAGAGTTGAGTTAAAGGGAAATAACTGAGGCATCCGGAAGTGTCATGTCACGTGGTACTAGAACAATCTACCCCGGTGTACGAAATAAAGGGTTCGTTCATACAGATCCTTTCAGTTGTTTAATCTTGATGTTCAGACGAAATTCATTAAGGAAGGCGCCATAGTTTGTTTTGTTTTTTTCGATCTTTTCAAAAATCATCGTCAAGTCTAAATACCGTCAACAAAAACCACGGCGTCCTCTTTGACGAACTTCATCTTTACACCAAGAAACAGATGAGACGACTGGAAAGGATCAGTATAAAAATATGTAAACACAGTATGTCTACATTATTCAATGAAACATGTTTGAATATATATATATATATATATGTATATAAAAGTCAACACTGAAGTCAACACTCAGAGGCAACAGAATGTTTCATGCTGGACGCAATCGTCAGGCCGCCTGACGATTGCGTCTAGCATGAAACAGCCTGTCACCTCTGAGTTTTGATTTCAATGTTCACTTTTATATTTATATTTATATACGCTCTATCTCTGATATTGAGTACTTCATCCCATAAATATAGCACACCTTAAAATTATATATATATATATATATATATATATATATATATATAGGTAACTAGAGATGTGACCTGATGAGCCAGGAAAAATATATTTTCTAAGGAGATAAATTATAGCTATGGAACCTTTTTAAATTTAATTTATATATATATATATATATATATATATATATATATATATATGTGTGTGTGTGTGTGTGTGTGTGTGTGTGTGTGTGTGTGTTGTGTGTAATAAAAATAAAACAAGAACAAACGAAAGGATACCAACATAATCAATACGATAAACATTTATTAAATATTATTAACCATATGGCAGAAATGAAGCAGGAAGAGAAAGGTTTTTAAGTTCGGAATTTTCAGAAACGCCTTGTGGCCTTCATCAGCGAACCGTAGAAATGGAAATTACTTAGGGACAGATGTTTTGTAGACGGTGTATTTTCTGGTTGAAATCGTATTGTTACCAAAAGACGATCTCTGTCTGATTCCTCGGTGTGCGAAACGTTTCATGAAAATAAATTTTAAAATTTGATTGATGTAAAAGCTTTAGGCAGGTAGTGTGTGTCGTGGGAGAGTGAGATGTAAACATAGATGAAGAGAGTTATAGGTAGGGGTGGGAGAAAGACGTCACGCGTGTAGCAAATTGTAAAGTGTAGAAAGACGGGCAGTGTTTATATATATATATATATATGTGTGTGTGTGTGTGTGTGTGTGTGTGTGTGTGTGATGCCATTTGTTGACCTAAGCTTTTGAGTAAAATTGGGCAGACGGAATTCTTGTGGGCCGTCGATAGCTGTTCTAGCACGAAGTCATCGTGGTCGAGAGCTTGACCATGCTAGTCTTGTTCAAATTTTTGCACACGCTAGATAACACGCTCTCTCCCAGAAACTGTAACTAAGGTCTGCTCAGCATAGTTGCAGTATAAACAACAGGTGGGCTCTGTGGATGTTGCATAAACACAAATGCGCCTGATCAAGCGTCTGCAATAGGGATTGGCTAGCCGCCCCAGTAGACGGGTATCTTCGAATACAAGTGACCAGCTATTATATATATATATATATATATATATATATATATATATATATATATATATTGATGCATGTTTCATTAAATAATATAGACAAGTTTTGTCTGTTTATTTTATGTAAATTTTTTTCATATCGTCTGATAAGCTTAATAACATTATCATTAAAAGACGAAAGAAAATCACCATATTGATACATATTCTTTAATCCTATCTAAGCTTTCAGCTTACATATGCCATTATCAAAGGTGACAATTACATTTCAATATATTAAACAATACACGGACAAAACAATAATGATAGTCTGTTTTTGTTTACTTGGAAGATTTCCAAGCAAAGACAAACTCGTGCATACGAGACGCTGGAAGCGAAAATCGCACTGCGGCTCATGACGTCACACACACACACACACACACACACATATACATATATATATATATATATATATATATATATATATATATATATTATTTTCTATTACTCTTTATACTCATTTGCTTCTCTTTTCTTTTACTCTCTCAGTCGCTTTCACTATTTTATATTTCTCTCATTCATCAATTCCTTTTTCTCTTTCACTTTCCATGTCTCTATATTCCCTTTCTCATTTCTCATGTTTGCTCTATCTTTACCTCCCTCTTTCCTTCCCTTTTTCTCTTCTCATATTTCTTATCTCACTCTTTCTATCTCTCTCTCTCTCTCTCTCTCTCTCTCTCTCTCTATCTATCTATCTATCTATCTTTGTACTTCCGTTCTTTCTATTTTATAACTTCCCCACAAGGCAAGACGTGGCACAAGGCCAGTTTTTAACGTGAAGCATTTCGAGGCAGTAAAATTGCCCTTAGATCCCATATACACGGGGTCGGGTTTATTTACCTTCCCAAACGAGACTTTGCTCTTCGGCATAGCCTCGTCTTGGTTCCTCTCCGCCCGAAGGCAGAGAGTTCGACAAGGGAGCAAGAGGAAAAGAAGGCCTCTTCCTGTTCTTTACTGATCATGCCACTAACGATGCAATGGACACCCTACCTCAAAGCCTTATTTACGATGTGGTTGATTAATTATTTTCCCACCATACAACCACTTTCTCACAGACGAAACGTCGCCTCTCACTATTCTATTGCTATTTCCATGGCAAATGCTCAGACAAGCTACATTCTTTCGTACTACGATTCTTCACATGTTTAGAGCCGCCATGCCATATACACTGGAACGAATTCTACCCCTTCTCTTCGCATTCTATTAAGAAGGAAGGTTAAGGCCACATCAAGTTGTAACACCGGTTCCCATCCGATCACCAAAGTTAAGGAACGTCAAGCCTGGTCAGTACCTAGATGTGTGACCGCTTGAGAATACCAGGTGCTGGAAGCTTGGATGTGCAGGTGGAGTTGTGGATAATGACCAGAGATTGTTAATCGAAGAGCCGAGTTCCAGTTCTGGTTGGGTTCGTTATATTCACTTACGCGCAAATACTCTTGGGAAAGATATGAAACCACCTCTTTTTCTCCCAGCTATGGATTAATCAGTAAGAATTATATCATTAAACCATTATTACCTCGAAAAAAATACTTAAATACCAGTCAGTGTATCGTACCATCATCTTTGTATCCTACATTATCTAATGTAAAGAAAAAAGCAAAACCGATTGGAGGGATGCCATTTTTTGTTGTATTAGAAAATTTAAAATAAAAAAAATTATAAAATAAGAAATTTGACTAAAAAAAAAATCATAAAACAAGATTTTTGAATCCTTTCAATAAAAACATTCTGAATGTCTTTTAAGATATCGAGTAAAAAGGTCGGGAAAATACCAAAATAATGTAGGATAGTAACGTGGGCGTAAGATACACAATGAACCAGTAACTGAGCGTTAAAATATATTTACAATGCCTGAATCATGTAGGATACAAATATGATGGTAGGATACACAATGAACCGGAAACTGAGATGCAAAATATATTTACAATGCCTTAATCATGTAGGATACAAATATGATGGTAGGATACACAATGAACCGAAAACTGAGCGGTAAAATATATTTACAATGCCTTAATCATGTAGGATACAAATATGATGGTAGGATACACAATGAACCGGAAACTAAGCGGTAAAATCTATTTACAATGCCTTAATCATGTAGGATACAAATAGGATGGTAGGATAAACAATGAACCGGAAACTGAGTGGTAAAATATATTTACAATGCCTGAATCGTGTAGGATACAAATATGATGGTAGGATACACAATGAACCGGAAACTGAGCGGCAAAATATATTTACAATGCCTTAATCATGTAGGATACAAATATGATGGTAGGATACACAATGAACCGAAAACTGAGCGGTAAAATATATTTACAATGCCTTAATCATGTAGGATACAAATAGGATGATAGGATACACAATGAACCGGAAACTGAGCGGCAAAATATATTTACAATGCCTGAATCATGTAGGATACAAATATGATGGTAGGATACACAATGAACCGGAAACTGAGTGGTAAAATATATTTACTAAGTCTTAATCATATAGGATACAAATATGATGGTAGGATACAAATATGATGGTAGGATACACAATGAACCAGAAACTGAGCGGTAAAATATATTTACAATGCCTTAATCATGTGGGATACAAATATGATTTAAGATACACAATGAACCGGAAACTTAGCGGTAAAATATATTTACAATGCATTAAACATGTAGGATACAAATATAATGGTAGGATACACAATGAACCGAAAACTTAGCGGTAAAATATATTTACAATGCCTTAATCATGTAGGAAAAAATTATGATAATAGGATACACAGTGAACCAGAAACTGAGCGGTAAAATATATATACAATGCTTGAATCATGTAGGATACAAATATGATGATAGGATACACAATGAACCAGAAACTGACCGGTAAAATATATTTACAATGCCTTAATCATGTAGGATACAAATATGATTGTAGGATACACAATGAACCGGAAACTGAGCGATAATATATATATATACAATGCCTTAATCATGTAGGATACAAATATAAAGGTAGGATACACAATGAACCGGAAACTGAGCGGTAAAATATATTTACAATGTGTTAACCATGTAGGATACAAATATGATGGTAGGATACACAATGAACCAGAAACTGAGCGGTAAAATATATATACAATGCTTGAATCATGTAGGATACAAATATGAGTGTAAGATACACAATGAACCGAAAACTGAGCGGTTAAATGCAATTACAATGCCTGATGCATGTAGGATACAAATATGATGGTAGGATACACAATGAACCGGAAACTGAGCGGTTAAATATATTTACAATGCCTTAATCATGTAGGATAAAAATATGATGGTAGGATACACACTGAACCAAAAACTGAGCTGTAAAATCTATTTACAATGCCTGAATCATGTAGGATACAAATATGATGGTAGGATACACAATGAACCGGAAACTGAGCGATAATATATATATACAATGCCTTAAACATGTAGGATACAAATATGATGGTAGGATACACAATGAACTGGAAACTGAGCGGTAAAATATATTTACAATGCCTTAACCATGTAGGATACAAATATGATGGTAGGATACACAATGAACCAGAAACTGAGCGGTAAAATATATATACAATGCTTGAATCATGTAGGATACAAATATGAGTGTAAGATACACAATGAACCGGAAACTGAGCGGTTAAATATATTTACAATGCCTGATTCATGTAGGATACAAATATGATGATAGGATACACAATGCACTGGAAACTGAGCGGTAAAATATATTTACAATGCCTTAATCATGTAGGATACAAATATGATGGTAGGATACGCACTAAAGCAGAAACTGGTCAGTAGGACACACGCTGAAATGACACCAGTCTAAAAATATTTTAATAAAAATATAATATACTTTATTCTGCTTTCACGATCGAATACGTGGTAGATGATACTCATCTTTTGTGCATATAGATGTTGATATGAACATGATTATTAGAGACGGTCATAAGTCTGTATTTTATTTTGTAGATTTCTTAAATATATACATTGTGTGTGTGTGGGTGTATCTATATCTCTCAGATGAGATATGATTATTTGCATTATTTACATTATTAGGACTGTTATCATCATCTTCATTGCCATATTCATAAAATTTCGTCCACCGGGGTAGATTGTTCTAGCTCCACGTGTCATGCCTCTTCCGAATGTCTCGGTTATTTTCCCTTTAACTCAACTCTCCAAATTTTTTGGTTCACCACTGCTGTGGCCTGTTATTGAACTCACAACTCTTTGGGCCTAGTCACTGGATTTAACCAACGTCTTTATCCTCTAAACCATGTGTCCTTGAAGACAGCTTTTGATGATTTTTTAGGGACTAAATATCTCAACAACCTTTTTTTACCAGTGCTCATATTGCAATTTTTTCTGTTAATATTATTTCATTTTTTACCAGAGCTTATATTGCAATAGTTGTTATTCATTGCTTTTCTCTAGGACTCCTTATTACTTGTTCCCATATTGTATTCATTTCTACGCTTGGTCGGCTCAGGAAATTTTTGTGACCTAACACATATGCTAATTCCTTCATTTTTCGTATTGGCAGTATATCAACCACTTTGGGTTATTTAATGCCAAAATCTAAACATTTTGTACCTAATTTTATACTTTTAGAGTAAAGGCATGTTGAGATATATATTTTGTACATATAAAATCTATTATCTGTCTATATTTCTGATATGAGGTATTATGTACATTGTTTACATTATTCGGACTATTGTATTCATCTTTGTCGCCATATTTATCCATTAGACATGGCACGTGGAACTAGAACAGTCTACCCCAGTGAGCAAAATAAAAGGTCCAGTTCAACATTCCAACCACCTGAAGAAGGCCGGGGCGTACAAAGGCCGAAACATTTGATGAGGACAATAGTCCGAATAATGTAAATAGTATAAAATCTATTGCTAGTAATTTTACTATAAAAATCTATTTTTATATTTTAGTGTTGTATTGGTTACCATTTTGCAAAAAAATGCATTGTTAGTCATTTTATTTTAAAAATGTACTGTTGATTTATGTTTGAGGTTTCACTATTTGCCCATAGCTGGGACCCTAATAGGTGCTACCACCCCGGGTCATGGTGGACCTGAGAACAGCAACAATTAAGAAGTAGTTCCACTTTCCTTAAATCTTTCAATGGCCTTGTTGCCGGTTGTAGTTTATCGTCATACCCAGGACAAAATTCTTCAAGGAACGCACTAACAAGGTCGCCAACAGTCAGATCATTAAAAGCATCCCAGTGCATTCATTCGCCCTTAAAATAACCTATATTTCAGACTGCAGTTAAATTCACTTTGTTTACAGAATTCAGTTCTAAATATATTATCCACGAAAATAAATCCCCCATGGGATATAGTAAAAGCATAAACAAAAAGACGCGTGCAGTCTTTGAATTTAACAGCCACCCAAAGAGGACCAAATTACTCTGGAAGCTATCAATTTCACGCAAAAATTTCATTATTAGATGACGACATCTCCAGTACGAAATATGAGCCAATTTCATTCATGGGACAAATCCGATATATATATATATATATATATATATATATATATATATATATATATATATATATATATATATATATGTGCGACATCGCTTGTAATAGATATACAGGCACCTTTATAAACAATACTGCATTTGGAATAATCATAATCATCATTCCTATAACCGAGTATGGTTGTGTTTTCGCTGAAATAGCGGAACATTTGACCCTTTAACTTTTATCTCTCTATATGTGACTTCATTTGCTGTACAAAAAGTTTATCCTGCCACTGAAGCTGAGTCTGATCCATGATCTATAGGGTACTTGAATTTCATAGTTGTGTTGTCATATCCTGCTATGACAACATAAAACAAGTTTGAGTGAAATTAACAATAAGGATACTGCAATTGAGAGGCCTTAAAAAGAATGCAGTGAAAAGGGAAGAGATATTAATTCAGGGTACTAAAAGTTAAAGATACAAATGTAGACTTCAAAGAAGAATTTATTTACCAATTTTGTTATTAACCAGTTTTTTTTAGTTATTTTCTATTGTATTTTAATTTTTAGTTTTAATTCTTTTTAATAAAATATTTTATTGGAATGTTTCTTAATTTTGATGCAACAAATGCAAAAAAAAAATACCGTATGAAATTTCTGTTAAATTTTTATTTTTTTAAGTGTTTTAAAATAATATTTTGCTTTCTGAAATTATTAAATTTAATATATTAGCTTGAAATTTAAACTAAAATGAAAGCTTCAAGAAAGATTTTTTAATTTTTAAAAATTCATTTTAATCTTTACGTATCACATTTCA